ATGCTGTAATGACATAACAAAAGAGAAGGCGACAGTTTTAAAGTATAATTGTCAGCCAAATGCATATTTTATATTTGGTTCATAGAATATATCTAGATGTGGGGAAAGTCTCCTATTTGGTAATTTAGTTAAAATGTAAATGTTTTATCACAGCATATGTTGGTATGTTTTGGAGTGTGCTTCCATTGTGTTCAGCTTTTGAAAAGTTTGAGTTCCATTTTAGTCAAATGTAGTTAATGGGATTTCCAGAGATAGATATTCTGTTTTCTTATTGTACTGCACATTCCTTGAAGGCAGCTACTGTACTTAATATATCACTTTCTTCCATAATACTGCCCTAGGTCTTTTTAGTTTTTAAGAGACTGGGTCTCATTATGTTGCCCAGGCTAGACTCAGATGCTCAAGCAATCAGTCCTCCCACCTCAGCCTCTGGAGTAGCTGGGACTACAGGGGCATGCACCACCAGGCCTGGCTTCCTGGGTCTTTCAGGAGAGAATATTTGTTCAATTGAAGAAAGAATAGGATTCTTGTCATCAACAACTCCAACACAGCTCCAAAATATCCATGTTGTAACCTAGATCTTAGGCCTACTCTCTCCACTGTCCTGCAAAGGCACATTTGCAACTACCTATTGGCTATCTATAGGAGTCCTCAAACATCTCAGACTTTACATGAATAAAACTCAACTTTCTTCCCATTCAAACCTGTTTATTTTCTTCTGTAAGAGAAAGATGCCATTTGAGGCTCCAGAATCTGCCTCCAACTCTTAACAGGACTCTGCAATTACTCTTGTATCCTTCCCATCCTCATTGCCTTGCTGTTATTACATAGGCCCTGTTTCAAGTTCTTGTTACTTGTTCCTGTGTTGGCAATAACATCTAATTCCAATGCCTTTGTGTGGTCCCATTTTAAACACTGCCAGAGCAATTTTCGAACAATGTAGCTCTAATCTAGTTTCATCCCCACTTCCACATGCTTTAGTGGCTTTCCCAGTGGCTTGGCATGAACACTTCCTCAGTTGTCATATACTCCAGCTAACTCTGACCCAACCTTTCTCTGTTGACACAGTTTCCTTTTTTTCTTCATTTACCCCATTCGAATCTCTGTTTATCTAAGACTTCTCTGTGATAACTGCCCCGTAGTCTTTCTCTCCCCTGTTCCTCCAGACTAGATCCTGTCTCCTTCCTGTAGCTCCCACACAGCCCTTAGTTCATAAGCTTTTGTGTGGGACCTTCTGTCCCTAAAGACAACTTATTCGAGATTTCCCCACAGCATCTGGCAGAGTGCCTTGCAAGCAGCGGACACCCAGTATTTGTTGAATTAAATTCCTTCCTATGAGTCCCTTCTGATTTTTTTTTTTTTTTTTTTTGAAGTGCCTCTAATATACGTACCATTCTGGGGCTTAAGCCACTTTCATCTTCTAAAGGAAAATCTTATCTATGACATTTTCCCTTATAAGAGATCATTGTTTTGAGGAGGATTTTTTTTTTAAAGATACAGGTAGTAGGAAATTTTTTCAAGCCTAAATATCAAATTCCTTTTCGTTTGGGGTTGGGGGAAGGGATGAAGGGAGAGCAACTTGCTCTTTCATATGAGTTGGTCATAGCATGTAAGAACCAATCTTGAAATGCCATTGTTTTTTTTCCTAAATGACTTATTATGTATTTCTAGAAATACTTTGTACTTAAAGTGATAACAGTTTGTATCTTATTGTCCATATATACTTTATAAATAAAAATTAGCATTGTAAATAATGTTCATATGTATTATATTTATACAAAATAAATTTACTATAATATCTTCGGCTGGTGTGATTGTTCCCCTCCCCTCTACCCCCAAGATGGTCTCGCTCTGTTGCCAGGCTGGAGTGCAGGCCTGTAATCCCAGCTATTTGGGAAGCTGAGGCACGAGGATCACTTGAACCCAGGAAGCAGAGGTTGCAGTGAGCCAAGATCACACCACTTCACTCCAGCCTGGGCAACAGAGTGAGACTCCATCTCAAAAATAAAGATGAACTTCATTTACCTCTTTTCCTGAAGCATAATTAATGGAAACGCTTCTTCGCTTACAAATGATGTTCCTCAAATGGCTTCTACTTTCAAGTTTTAACAAGTCAACTTATTGTGACTTAAGTAAATTAACTGGATGACAAGGGGTGACCACAAGCATCACTACAGGCATACATATTCTGCACCAAGAATAGAGAAGAGTCTCAGATTGCCTGTTTCCATTGGGCCTTCAGTGTAGTCATGCCCTGCACAACAGTATTTCAGTCAAGGACAGACCACATATACAACAATGGTTGCATAAGATTATAATCTCCTGTTTTTACTGTACTTTTTCAATGTTTATTTTTCTAAAGGACTTACTGTACTTTTTTATGTTTATATATCTGATGCACAAATACCTACCATTGTGTTACAACTGTGTCTAGTATTCAGTACAGTAACATGCTGTGTACAGGTTTGTCCTCGGGTTGTGACCTAAGAGCAATAGACTACAACATACAGCCTAGGTGTGTCTAGGTTAGACCATCTAGGCTTGGGTAAGTATGTTGTATGATTAGCATACTTAATGAAATCGCCTCAGGACTCGTTTCTCAGGACATGTCCCTGATGTGACTATACTTTCATAATTTTCACCTTTGGGACCAGCTTATGGGTATTGGCAGGGGGTCTCCCTTCAAACCAAACCAAACATACAACAAATAATGCTAAAAGGTAGAGGTCGAGTTTTTTTTTGTTTTTTTTTAAACAGAGTCTCACTCTTGCCCAGGATGGAATGCAATGGTGCGAACACTGGACCAGACTCCTGGGCTCAAGCAATTCCCCAACCTCGGCCTCCTCAGTAACTAGGACTACAGTCCTGCAGCACCATGCCTGGCTAGCTTTTTATTTTTATTTGTTTTAAAGAGATGAAGTCTCACTATGTTGCCCATGTGGGTCTCAAACCTCTGGCATCAAGCAAGCCTCCTGCCTTCGCCTCCCAAAGCTCTGGGGGCAGGAGCCACTATGCTCAGCAGAGGTCGATTTTTAATGAGGGATAAAGCATATTTTTACTTGTTAGGGAATTTCATGCCTTGATCCCTGTCCATCTGCCTAGTTCCAGAGAGAAACGGTTGCTGGGAATGAGATGTTCTCATTCCCAGCAAACGTTTGTTTTTCCTTCCTTTGATTTCTGCCCTGAGTCTGTGGCTGCTTTCCTACAGTGCTGACCTAAGCAAGGTAAAACAGAAATTTCATGGTAAAACAAAGGAGACTAAATATTTTTTTAAAAATAGAAATTTCAAGAATGCTTCAAAATCTAAAGCACAGAATACTCTGCACACAGGGCAGTTATTCCTGTCACACCTTGCTGCTACGGGTAGCCACCAACAGAAAGTGATGTTCCACTAATGTTTCTTCATTTCACAATTTAAAAAAAAAATTGTAGACTCAAGGTTTTGTTATCTTGCCCAAGCTGGTCTCCAACTGCTGGCCCCAAGTGATCCTGCCTTGGCCTCCCAGCAGCCACCTTGCCCAGCTCTCATTTCATAAATCCAGCTAGCAGGCATTGTCCTATGTGTTTGGTAATACACCCTGAGCAAAACAGACAAAAACCAGCCGTTGAGGAAAAACACACACACACACACATACATACATACATACATACACACACACACACATATAGAGAGAGAGAAAAGAGAGAAACTCATTCTGTCATCCAGGCTGGAGTGCAGTGGTGTGATCTTGGCTCACTTCAGTCTTGACCTCTTGGACTCAGGTGATCCTTCCCCCTCAGCCTCCAAGTAATTGGATGACAGGCATGCGCTACCAGGGCCTGCTAATTGTTTTGTAGAGACGGTGTTTCGCCATATTGGCCAGGCTGGACTCGATCTCCTGGGCCCAAGTGATCCGTCCACCTGTGCCTCCCAACTTGCTGGAATTACGGGCGTGAGCCACCGTGCCCATTGTCTAGTGATTATATTCTTGCCCCGTTTAGCCATTACATCTCTTTACTCAAATAGTTTGTAAGTGAAACTTTGCCTTACCAGATGAATTGGCCTCAGCTTGTCATTATAAAGTTTAAATGTGATTGGAATCTACCCAAAGGCCAGTTTTCCAGAAATTAGAAACAGATATGCCTAAGACCCAGAGGGTTATTTATTACACAAGTCTGAAACATTGACTCAAAATTTTCCCTAATGCCCACCTTTGGCATATGAGCTTACTTTGCAGGTGGCTTCAAAAAAATACCTCGCTGGTAACACGCAGCCCTGGCGGGGCACTCTGCCTCCAAGCCAAAAGGGGGCAGTGGACTCAGACAGCCGCGGTTCGGCCCTCTGATCCCTTCACCCCACCCTGGGAACGTCACGACCTCCTCTCGCCGCTTCTCCCTGTCGCTAATGCGCAGGCGCAGGTGGGATCGCGCACCGCCGAGCCGAGAGAGGGGTCACGAACTCTGACCTCCCCCAATACACAAACCCAGAAAGCTCCCTCCCCGGTGATTCTGGATTCCCCCCGCTCCCGTCAGCTTCCTCCAACCTCTCTTCCCGGACGGAGCGCCCCCCATCCAGCAGTGGCAGCCGCGGGACTGTCGCGTCGGCGCCCGACGCAGGAGACAGCGCGGCGCAGACGCGCCGGTAAGAAACGCTAGGTGGGGACACCGGCGACCGCGCCGGGGGTAGGGATGGGGGGGTGCCCTTCACCCCAACCGCCAACGGACGCAGTCCCAGCGCATCCCGCGGGCTGCGCACTCCAGCCAGCGGCGCTGTTCGGTCTAGGAGTGCCGCTTTAGGGCGCTCGGGTTGGGCTGGGAGCCCGGAGCTGTGGCGCCGGATGCATCCGGGACCGTGGGGGAGGCGCGGGCGACGGGACGCGGGGCCGGACGGCGAGGGCTTGGAGCACACAGCCGCCTCTCCTGCGGCACTAGCCGCAGCGCCTCTGACCTTTAACCTGCAGGGAAAGCTTCCGCGGCGCCGCAGTTTTCCCCGCCCCGGGGAGCCGCGCCGGGGCCTAGAAGACTCATGGCGAAAGCGGGCACTGGTGGGACCAGGGGAGAGGCCGACGCTCGGCTTGGGGCCGCAAGCCCTAGCCTGCATCCTGTCCCTAACTCTCGTGCCTACAAGGGACGGACAGAATGACGCCCTCCACTTTCAGTTTTCTCTCACGACAAATCGGACCTGGGTCGTCGCTGCCTGCAGACCTGGATCTTATAAGAAGTGGAACGGCCCAGTGTCCTCACTGCACTGAGCACGTCCAAGCTTTCGATAGCTCTTTTGTTAAGAAATTCTTCCTCCAAGTCGTGCAGATACCGTTTTTGTGCAGTATGAATGTTGCCAAGTTGTCCCATAGTCTTCAGTAAGTAGGTCAGCCTTTAAACAAGTAACAGGAAAGGAAAAGCAAAAGATCTAAAATTAAGGCCTTTAGGGTTTTTATATCTCTAGAAGTTCTAAATAGACCTTCAATTTTGAGGTTTTTTGAACCATTTCTGCTGTGTGGTTGATGATACTCAATTGTTTTTAAACTTTGCCCAAGTCCAGCTAGTAAATCGGGAAAAGTGATGTGTATTTCTGTCTTTGAAAGTGGGTCACATGAAATGTTGCTAGTCTTAGTTTTTCAAGGGGCATGCTAGTTTCTTCTAGGAAAGGTTTTTTGTTTTGTTTTATAGAAATGGTGGTGATCCCACTTTGTTGTCCAGACTAATCTCTGGCCTCAAGCTATCCTCCTGCCTCAGCCTGTTGAGCAGCTGGAATTTACAGGCATCCTAAGGAAGAATTTTGAGGGAGCAAACATTCCTGGATTCTGTGTGTCTGCCACACAGTGTATAATCCTTGCTCTTGGGGAACTAAAACATTCAATAAATAATAGTATAGATACAATTAATTGCCTTTGTTCAGTTACAAGACCATTTGCATCCTCTTAAAGTCTTTACAAACTGTCTCTAGAAAAACGCACAAATGCACCTTTAGATAAAATTTTACATACAATATTAGGAGTTAACAGAATCTGTTTCTGAATCCTAGTAAACAGCCTTAGTCTACACAATAAATGCTGAACCCTTCAAGAAAGACTGGGTTAAAAAACTATTTGAACCAAATTTTTTTTTTTTTTTTTTTGAGATGGCGTTTCGTTCTTGTTGCCCAGACTGGAGTGCAATGGTTCGATCTCGGCTCACTGCAACCGCCACCTCCCGAGTTGAAGCGATGCTCCTGCCTCAGCTTCCGGAGCTGGGATTACAGGCAATGACCACCATACCTGGCTAATTCTTTCTATTTTTTGTAGAGATGGGGTTTCACCATGTTGGCCATGCTGGTCTTGAGAACTCCTGACCTCAGGTGATACATGTGCCTCAGCCTCCTAAAGTATTGGGATTACAGGCATGAGCGCCCGGCTTAAGCCAAATCTTAAAGGTCAGGTGGGCTGGACGTGGTGCCTCATGCCTGTAATTCCAGCCCTTTGGGAGGCCGAGGCAGGTGGATCACAAGGTCAGGAGTTCGAGACCAGCCTGGCCAAGATGGTGAAACCCCATCTCTACTAAAAATAAAAAAAATTAGCTGGGCGTGGTCGCTGGCATCTTTAATCGCAGCTACTTGGGAGGCTGAGGGAGGAGAATCACTTGAACCCGGGAGGCAGAGGTTGCAGTGAGCCGAGATGTCGCGGCTGTCACTCTAGCCTGGGTGACAGAGCCAGACTCTGTCTCAAAAAAAAAAAAATGGAGTATGCTGGGGAATAAAGAACATCAGAGTTTGACCTGAACCTAGGCCCCCTTTTGGAAGTGATGGGAAATGAAATGAGAATAGGGGGAAGTCAGATTAGAAAAGAAGTCTCCCTTGTGCTCACAGTGCCAGACACCTTGTGAATACATAATAAATATTGAATGAACAGCAAGGGAAGGGGTTAAAATTTTGTCCCTTTGCCATTAAAGTAGCATTGATGGTCTGAAGCTGGAGAATAAGGATGTGATTCAGTTCTGTAAGTCATTTTGTGAATGCCTAGCCCATAGTAAGCACTCAAAAGTAATTGCTGAATGGAAGAAAATTGAGTAAATTACTGAGCCAATGAATATGACCATTTTTAAGGTTCTTGGTACACATTGGCAAATTACTCTTCTAGGAAGGTTAAAAAAAAATCTTAACCTTCTACCAGCAGTCTATAAAGAATGTGTGTGTTGGCTGGGTGTGGTGGCTCATGCCTGTAATCTCAGCACTTTGGGAGGCCAAGGTGGGCAGATCACTTGAGGTCAAGAGTTCAAGTCCAGCCTGGCCAATATGGTAAAACGCTTTCTTTACTAAAAATACAAAAATTAGGTGGGCATGATGGTGCATGCCTATAATCCCAGCTACTCTGGAGGCTGAGGCAGGAGAATTGCTTGAACCTGGGAAGTGGAGGTTACAGTGAGCCAAGATCACGCCATTGTACTCCAGCCTGGGCAACAAGCGAAACTCCATCTCAAAAAAAAAAACAAAAACAGAATGCGTATGTTGCCTTATCTTTGGAACATGTATAGTCATGTGTGATGAGGATGTGTTCTGAGAAATGCATCCTTAAGTGATTTTATCACATACAAACATCATAGAGCATACAAAACTAGATGGTATAGCCTACCATACATACAGTGTAGCCTGTTGCTCCTAATATACAAACCCACACAGCATCTTACTGAATTCTGTAGGCAGTTTTAACACAGTGTTATTTGTGTAAGTAAAAAATCTAAACATAGAAGAGGTACAGTAAAAATACAGTATTGTGGGTGTAATCTTGTGTACCACTATTGTATATTCAGTCCCATTCATTGACTAAAACATCATGCAGTACATGACTGTATATTGTTCTAGTGATTCCCTGGATTTCATTCAGATACACCAATAGTTTATCTACTCAAGTTTTCATTATGCGGTGGCTTCTTTGAGTCTAATGCACCAATACACTGATGTGGATTTTAGGATTTTTGGAAAAGATTTCTTAAATTATTTTTTATTTAATTTTTGTGGTAATATTTGTATTTAAGTAAAATTTAAAAGGACCAAACCCTTACTCAATGAAAAATAAGTCTCCCTCCCATTCCTGTTCCCAAACTTGCATTTTCTTTCCTTGGAAGTAGTTATTGGAACCATTTTCTTTCTTACGTGTCCTTTAAGGTGTAGTTTTTCTTTTCTTTTTTCTTTTTTATTTATTTTGAGACAGGGTCTCATTCTGTCACTTAGGCTGGAGTGCAGTGGTGTGATGATCTTGGCTCACTGCAACCACCACCTTCCAAGTTCAAGGGATTCTTCTACCTCAGCCTCCTGAGTAGCTGGGATTATGAGCACTGGCCACCATGCCCAGCTAGTTTTTGTATTTTTAGTAGAGATGAGGTTTCACCATGTTAGCCGGGCTGATTTTGAACTCCTGATCTCAAGCGATCAGCCCACTTTGGCCTCCCATAGTGCTGGGAATACAGATGTGAACCACCGGGGCTGGCCCAAGTGTAGATTTTCTTGTCTTTAGGCGGCATTGTAAAGTTTTCTTTGCCTACCTAGATCTTGCCTGTTTCTTACTGGGTTTATGCCTGAGTGTTACGGGCTGAATTGTGTTCTCCCACAAAATCATGTGAATCCCAAATTCCTATGTTGATGTACTAACCACCAGTACTTCAGAATTGAGTATAGTTGGACATAAGGCCTTAAAAGAGATAATTGAGTTAAAATTAGATCATTAGAGTGTACCCTAATCCAAAATAACTGATGTTCTTCTATGAAGAGAGTATGACACAGGCACTCAGAGTGCCATATAAAGACACATGGGGCTGGGTGCAGTGGCTCACGCCTGTCTGTAATCACAGCACTTTGGGAGGCTGAGGTGGGCCGATCACAAGGTCAGGAGATCGAGACCATCCTGGCTAACACGGTGAAACCCCGTCTCTACTAAAATAAAAATACAAGAAAAATTAGCCGAGCGTGGTCGTGTGCACCTGTAGTCCCAGCTATTGGGGAGGCAGAGGCAGGAGAATCGCTGGAACCTGGGAGGCAGAGGTTGCGGTGAGCCAAGATTGCACCACTGCACTCCAGCCTGGGTGACAGAGTGAGACTTTGTCTGAAAAAAACGAAAACAGACACATGGAGGGCTGGGCATGGTGGCTCGTGCCTGTAATTCCAACACTTTGGGAAACTTCAGAAAATGCCAACCCTCCCATCCCAACTAGATTATTTTGAAGCACATTCTTAAATATCATATAATTTTGTTTGCAAATTATTTAATAAAAGTGTTTTTATGAGTATAATTATAAAAAAGCATCTTTTTTATTTTTGGCAGGACATTTTGGCAGTTGATCATGGCAACCATAGAAGAAATTGCACATCACATTATTGAACAACAGATGGGAGAGGTATGTCTAGTTTGCAGTTTATCCACTGACACACCAAACTTTTATAATTCATATTAAATGCATATGCCAGATTCTAGAGTTCCAGAAATAAAAGATATTCCCTAACTTAAGATTGCTTTTCAGGCTACTGAGAGATAGTTGAATAATCAGACAATTTATAGTAGAATGTAGTAAGTGCTGTGGCAGGTCATCGTATCTGGTGCTGTGGGAGCACAGAAGCAAAAGAATTGAAAGGAAGGAAGGAAGGAAGTTACAGGGTTGTGGAGTGAGTAGGAATGCTTTTGGAGGGAATGCTTTTTGGAGGGTGCAACCTGAGTCCAATTTTGGTGGGATCAGTAGGAGTTCAGTGTCAATACCGACATCTTCATTTTTTTTAAATGGTTATGTCCTATTAATGAGAGATACCATGTAATCTGGAAATTCTCAAAATATCGTCTGGGGACCCTTTCAGAGAATCAGCTAGGTAAAAACCATTTTCATAATAATACTAAAATGTTATTTGCCTTTTCAGTGTTGTTCTCTCCCAAGTATACACTGGAATTTTCTTTCCTTTTTTTTTTGAGATGAAGTTTCACTCTTGTTATTCACACTGGAGTTTAGTGGCGCAATCTCGGCTCACTGCAACCTTCGCTTTCCGGGACCATGTGATTTTCCTGCTTCAGCCTCCCAAGTAGCTGAAATTACAGGCATACGCCACTACTCCTGGCTAATTTTGTATTTTTAGTAGAGATGGGGTTTCTCCGTGTTGGTCAGGCTGGTCTTGAACTCCCCCCGACCTCAGGTGACCTGCCCACTTCAGCTTCCCAAAGTGCTGGGATTACAGGCGTGAGCCACCATCCCTAGCCTACAAGGAATTTTCTACAGACTGTGTGACATGTGATGATACTATATGATGAAATGTGTCAACATTTATAAGGTATACATCATCACTTAATCATTGTTTTCCAGATGACCAATGTATAATGTTAGAAAACCATACATGAGTGAAGGATCCATTTAAATTGCAGGCTAGACCAACAGATTTTAATATAGTTTGTGACTCTACCTTGCAGCTAACCTTTGAAAAGCTGCCACTTGTTGAGTAGTTGTAGTGTTGAAGAACGACTTTCACAGTTTGAAAAGGGTATTAAAATAGCCTTCCCCTTTTCAACCAATAAATATGAAACTGAATTTTCTTCACCATATATACATATATTAATGTATGTATATGTATATATAGGGAAGAAATATATTTCCAACTAATATTTTGTGGTCACGTGCCTGACTAATGTTTATATTTCATAGTGATGGGGTTTTGCCATGTTGCCCAAGCTGGCCTGGAACTCCTGGGCTCAAGCAATCCAATCCACCCACCTTGGCCTTCCAAAGTGCCTGGATTAAAGACGTGAGATACTGTGCCCAGCCTCATTATAATCAAAACAACGTAGTTCAACAGATTAAATGAAGAAACAGATATGAGATTCTAAATTATATTAAACCAGACATTTAAGCAATTTGCAGAAATATAAAACAATGCCATTCTTTACATTTTTGTTTGGAAAATAAACTTATTAATCATTAAGAAATAGGTTATAATGAGTACCAAAAAAATAGGATGAATGAATAAAACCTAGTATTTGATAGCACAACAGAGTGACCATATTCAATATTTATTTATTATTTTTATTTTAATTTTATTTTTATTAAAAATTATTGTAAAACTTTTTTCATTTTTTTATTTTTGCAGGCTTGGATTTTTTTAAATTTTATTTTTAGACGGAGTCTCACTCTGTTGCCCAGGCCGGAGGGCAGTGGCACAGTCTCTGCTCGCTGCAATCTCATCCTCCCAGGTTGAAGCGATTCTACTGCCTCAGCCTCCTGAGTAGCTGGGATTACAGGTGCCTGCCACCACACCCGGCTAATTTTTTGTTTTTTTTTTTTTTTTTTTTTTTTTTTTTTTGAGACGGAGTTTCGCTCTTGTTACCCAGGCTGGAGTGCAATGGCACGATCTCGGCTCACCGCAACCTCCGCCTCCTGGGTTCAGGCAATTCTCCTGCCTCAGCCTCCTGAGTAGCTGGGATTACAGGCACGCGCCACCATGCCCAGCTAATTTTTTGTATTTTTAGTAGAGACGGGGTTTCACCATGTTGGCCTGGCCGGTGTCAAACTCCTGAGACCTTGTGATCCACCCACCTCGGCCTCCCAAAGTGCTGGGATTACAGGCTTGAGCCACCGCGCCCGGCCCAATTTTTTGTATTTTTAGTAGAGATGGGGTTTCACCATGTTGGCCAGGCTGGTCTTGAACTCCTGACCTTGTGATCCCCATGCCTCGGCCTCCCAAAGTGCTGGGATTACAGGTATGAGCCACCGAGCCCGGCCAATAATAATTTAATTGTACATTTAAAAATAACTAAGAGAGTATAATTGGATTATTTTTAACATACAGGATAAATGCTTGTGGAGATGGATGCCATATTGTCCATGTGATTATTACGTATTACCTGCCTGTATCAAAACATCTCATATACCGCAAAGATGATATATACTTACTATGTACCCATGAAAATTAAAAACAAATAAATAAAATGTTAACATTTAGTGGGTTGTTAATTTTAAATGAATCAAGTGTTTTAAAAAAAATTCTCTTTGAATTTCTAATATGTTAAATATCAATAGATATAGCTCACATGTAGAAAACCTCACCTCTGCTGAAAATACAAATAATTAGTTGTATGTGGTGGCAGGTGCCTGTAATCCTAGCTACTCAGGAGGCTGAGGCAGGAGAAACGCTTAAACCTGGGAGGTAGAGGTTGCAGTGAGCCGAGATCGCACCATTGCACTTCAGCCTCAGCAACAAGTGTGAAACTCGGTAGTGTCTCAAAAAAAAAAAAAAAAGCCCTTCAGAATCCTCAGTAATATTTTAGAATGTAAAGGGGTCCTAAAACCCAAGAACTGTTTCCATAATCTACTGCTCTTCCCTATTGAAGGCTCTTTGGATTGCTTAAATATTCAATTATTATAATTATCATGCCGCAGTAAATGTCCTTTTACTCATTTAAGCAGAACGTTTCAACCCAGGAACAGTTAGACCATGGATATGCCAAGTGCTCTTCTCTAAGACAGTGTGAACTATTAGTCTTTTATTCAATACAGTTTGCTTTAGGAAGAAACTGATTAGTGAATCAGAGTTTCGTTTTAAATTTTGCATAGAAAAGAATATTGAAATAATTTCAGGAAAATAAAAATAGAAAAAGTTTGGTACAGAAGAAACAGGAATGGAATTATGAAAAATTAGAAACCAACTTTGCCATTTCAAAATTGAATCAAGGAATTTAATTGGCCTAATGAAGTTTACTCTGGAATATATTTGCTGAATACCAGAAACTCTCAATGCTGAAATAGTTCTCTATATTCTTGAAGTTGCTCCTCCCCAGACTACCCCATCTTGGCAGATGGCAGTTCTGTCCTGCCAACTGCTGAAGCCAAAATTTTGTAATCAAACTTGACCCTTTCCTTCTTTTTTTTTTTTTTTTTTTT